ATTTAAAAAAATCATATTTTCTAAAGAAATACGTAAGACTTTTTTGATAAATTTCACATTTTTTTAGTTATAGCTGATTTTATTCGACTTTTTTGTGACGCCCTAGTAGAAATAAATCGCTGAAATCTATATAAATTGACCCATTTCAGTATTCATATTGATGAATTCATACTGAAATGAGTCAATTGACATAGATTTCAGTGATTTCAGCGGTTTATTTCCACCAGGGCGAAAAATTTTTTGTTTGTACTTCCGTCATTTTGTCAAAAATCAATATTTCTAAAAAAACGGTTACGTATCTTCTGCAGATATTTGAGTAAAGAAAATTAAAAAATTTGTTTTTTTTTATACTAAAATTACGACACTTGTGTTATTAGCCGCGGAACACCGTGCTAATTCGACTGTCTCCTTCACGCTGTTGTAAATCCGCCAGTTTAATAAATAAAATTCTGAAAACATTATTTTTTGTACTTTTTTATGTGCTTAATAAAGTTAAAAAAAATCATTTTTTAATAGCACGATTCATTAAACCAAAATAGATCTTATTTACATAGAATCTTATTTACATAGGTATCACTTCTTAACTAGCAGAATTCCAAAGTTCAGTTCTCTGAGTCACAAATAACCCAAAGTGTGTACATTTATAGAGTGTGCATTTTTTGTAACTAAAAAATTTTCATTTTTTTCTTTATTTTTAATTAATCGGTTGTGTTGCAAGAATGTTTCGCGAATTATAAAAAAAAAATTTAATCGTAGAACATATTAGCCCTTATTAAACATAATTTTTGATACCCTTGTTCTAAATGTTGTCAATAATATTATATATTATGTTGTCTGTAATGTTACAAAGAACATTTTCCTAATAAATTATAAGTTTTTTTTAACACAATAGCAGTAATAAAATTCATTGTTTAAATGCAATATATCTTCAATTTATAGCCATTCATGCATATTAAAAAAACATTTTCAAATTACTCAATAATTAAACTTTTTGAACAACCGACAACTTCAACTATTTTTTTTGTAGTTTAGAATATAAATTTTAAGATATTAAACTATATTTTTCTTTTAAACATTTTTGTTTCACATTTTTACATTTTGATATAAAACAATGCATTTTTCTCGTTTTCGTTAATTATATTTAATTAACAATTTTTCTACAATTTGTTAGGAATATATAACTGTACAAATACTTTTCAAAGATGTGATCAAAATATATGTAAAAAAATTTAATAATTTATATATATTTGTAAAAGTGATGAAAATTAATCCAGGAACATGAAAGACCAAACGTGTTTAAGGCCAAAAATTAAGATGTGTAAGGATTAAGGATTAAGGATTAATATTAATTAAACTAAGATTTATTTGAAAGAATTAATATTAGTTAAGAGCTGAGATTTATTAATTCTTTTATATTTGACTTACACTCTAATTTTTTTGGTCAATATTTAAGTGTACGAAAACCATATTACATTTAATTGTTCTCAATAAAACCTACAATGTACTCTTTGCTTCCTATTTTTTACTTTTTAATTTTTATCTTTTTTCCTCTTTGTAAGTTTTATCGACAATCGTTTCTTGTCTTTTCCAGAATTCGTTAACTTTTATTTCGAAAATAGAAAACAAAGAAACAGAAAAAAGGTAAAAGAGATAAAAGATAATAAAAAGCAAGAAATATTTCAAGCTTAATACCTGTCTCGTGTCTTTTATAGAATTGCGCATTTTATATGAATAATTATCACATACAATCGTTATATTCTGATAATACAAATTTATGTGATTTATTCGTTACAATCATAAAAAAATTCTATTTATTTCACGATATAAAACTCTAAGTAAAGTTATAAATTAATTTGCCTAGATATCCTCTCAATCGAACAGGGAGAGTGAATTTCATGTTTAATAAACCTCGGATATAATGAGAGACGATAAACAGTTTATTGGAAGTGCTTCGAATTACGCAGGATACAGTGTATGCTATGTGAATTCGTTTTATAAAGTTAAATATTTCAAAGCGACAAACCGGCCGCTTGATCTCGATGTTCGTTTATACGCAGTGTATGCAGGGCGGTTGACTATTATATGACGTCACGGCGTGACTCGGGTAAACAGGTAACAGGCGCGCCCTAACAGGCTGTTTCGTATTCTCATAGTTGAGAATGAGATAAATTTTTAATTTATCAATCTAACGTTTTTGCATCAGTTATACCGATTATATTTTATCAAATTTATTATCGATATTTTAAATATATAGTTAAAAATATATTATATTTATATTATACTTATTAAAGATTAGTAAATGTTTTTATCCACTAATGTGAGGGTATAAATCATTTTTTTTATCCATTTTCTCTTTTATCAAATTAATGAAGCCACCTGAGGGCGGCTAGATATTGATGTCTATATAGGGAAAATACTTAATCCGTTACTGTTTTCATATAAAATATATTGTTAAGTGCTATACAAATTATTGTATATGTATTATGCATTGTTGTAACAAATTGTAGCAATTTATATTGTAAATTATAAATAATGAAAATTAATAAATAATTAAAGAACATCATCTTAAGCCTTAATATCCACGATAAAATATAAATCGATCCAAAATCTCAGACGGAGAAGGATTGACCAATCATATTGACTGATTTGTTCAAATGTGATATGTTAATTCTTTCTCTGTCCGAGATTTCGGAGCAATTTATAACATCATGGATATAATACTTTAAGGCAGAATTCTAATCTAACTGCCCTAAAAATAGATAAATTTTAACGATTTTTTAAATGAAAACTAATTAATGATATTTCAATAAACTTTTTAAGGTCACTTTAACCAAACTCCAATTAACTTAATCAGTCGATTGAAATTGGCTAATCGCATCTGCTGTCAAACGAACGAATGACAAATGCGATTGGTTAATTTCAATGGACTAATCGGCCGATTAAGTTATCGGAGTTTGGTTAAAATGATTTTTAGGCTCAGTTTTATAACTTACGATTAATTCTTAACCGAGGTTGAACTTATTCATTATCTCTGTCCATTCTTGGAAAGAGATAAGAAACAAGATGAACTTCGGTTAAGAGTTAACCGTTAGTTGTGGAACTAGGCCTTAGGGATATTTATTTATTCGGATGTCTTCAACAATTTTCTAAAAAGAAATTCATAAAATGTACCTGTTTTTAGAACTGAATTTATACTATAATTCTGCCTTAAACAAAAAAAAAAGAAAAAAAAGATGACCGCTTTAAAATCGACGGGAGTGACGGAAAGCCTTTACTAGAGATGTAAACGACGGAAAAATACTAGAATTTTAGGATAAAAAATTCGGAAATTAATAGTTTTTTTCCTTTTACTTTGACAGTTTTTTACTTAGATATTTTTTTTTAGGTCATTTAGATTTAGTTCGCATTGCTTGAAATCCCTCAAAATTTTTGCATTTAAAATGATATTATTAGAAAAAATAGATTCGACGTTGAAATTAGAGAAGGTACAAATGCTGAATGCAAAGAGTGCAAGCAACGCAAATAGATTTATTAATCTATTATCATCTCATCAAGAATTGCAACAGCCAATAATACATATTTTCGCTTGGATATAAAATTATAAAGACAAAAGTATTAAAAAGTATCAAAATAAAAGAAAAATGAATTCTATTCCTTCTTTTACATATTTAACAAATGAATTCTAAGGTTTTTCATAAATTTTAATTTGATCAAAAATAATCGTTTTTTACAGTAAAAAACTAGTTTTTTATTTGATTCTTTTCTTCGAAGTCAGAAATACCGTTTTTTTACATCTCTAGCCTTTACAGATTGATTTACTTTTACTGGAATGAAATTTTTACTGAATGAAATTTTAATTAAAACTAGAATAACTTTTAATTTATAATTTTAATTTGTAATTAAAAAGAATATAAAATTTAACAAATTTATATAATATATTTACTTTGCAATATATATAATATTTGATAAAAGCGGAACAATTTTATAAAATAAGGGAGCAGTATTTATTCATTATTTTTTTCTGATTTGTTTATTGTCAGATTATCGTTTGATAAAATTACAGCAAACATCATCAGATGAGCAAATTTCACTCATTCAAATACTTATAGTATTTGAGAATAATTTATTATTCATTACATATTACAATGAAAATTCCAACTAACGGAAAATATCGGAAATCATGAAATTTCATATAATCGTAATTAATCGAAAATCGAATTTTATTTTAGTTTATTAAAAAATCAGAAATAAA